GTCAGGCCATGATTGAACGGGACGTTTGCATACGCCCTGTGGTTCTGGAGCTGGCCGTTGCGCACCGCTGTGCACCTGTTGACGCTTCGAAGGAATCCTCGAACATCTACCTGCACCGCGTGGACTTCTTCCAGGCGAGATCAAACCTGTCTAACAGGTGAGCTATGATCTTTAGGGCTAAAGTGGCAAAATGTGGAGGGTTCATGGGTCATAACATGTTAGGTCTTTCTCGTGTCTCTTCGTGTGTGGGTTGGATTGTTGCCAGATGGTCATAGGATTTGCCTTCCAATCTGCAGACGACTGGCAAATATGTGTCGATTTCGCTGGGATCCGATCGTGCGCCGTTGAAGCTCGCGTAGGGACTCACCCATCGGCTACATCAGGTCTTTTGCAAAGGGGCTGCCAGAAATGTTTAGCTCACGCTTGTCATTGCTTTACTTGGCATCCTTGTATCACTAAATGGCATGGTGAGATCGATTGGCCATGTAGAAAGGACGGATTTTGAAAGGTAGAAGGCCGCAGGATTGACCATAGGATTGGCAGAAGGTTTTTTTTCAGGATCGGACTGAAGCGACACCATCGAGTTCGCTCCAGGCGGTCACCGACATAGACTACTTCGTGAAAGCCACAGAGGTGGGGAGACCTCAGCTGGTTCAAAGGAAGATGAAGACCTCAGCGCTTCTGTCTTGTAGGTCGTGGACTACTCATACAGATGAGTCCAGTTATAGATGTCTTTTTCCTTGAATCCCAAGTCTTGCCACTGCAGCAGAGGGCTTCTTTCTTTTTGGCATGAGATTCATCCCGTCTCGTCCGTGTCCCGCCGTCCTCCCATCGGCCCCAATGAGCGGTGCAGGCGTGCGAGTTGAAGAGGTCCATGAAGATCGTTGAGGCTTGGAGCCGTTGGTCTTTCTGCTCATGGCTCATTGGGGGTCTGTTTGGGACCCATCAGACCCCCCCCCATCTGTCTGTAGATGGCATTGGTTCCCATGGCCGAAAATCATGAAGGCCTGGACCACCAGGACCTTTGGTCAGAAGGCCTTCTATGGCTGAATCCACGAGAGGAGGTGCTTCTCCACCACCGCTATGTGTTGTTTTTTTCTTCAGCCATAGACCATCATAGATTCGCCACGGCCATCCACGGCCCCTCCGAATGAGTACGTCCATCGTCCAGCGTTTCCACCGTTTCGCCAGGATCGACGATCCGAAGGCATCGCACGAGCTCTGTCAGACCAGGACGATGTGGCTTCGTCGATTTCGGTGGCGTTTTCTGGGTGGCACAAAACAGGATCCACTTCTAAGCAATGCGAGGCTTCCTCTTTGAACATGTGTTTCATGTTTGGTTGCTGCTCCTGGGTCGTTTTTTGTGAGGAGAGGAAGCAGGCATCTGAAGAAGCTGCTGCGATGACTCCTAAGGACAGGTGGCAATGATGGCAGGTCGCTTTCCAGGCACATACGCCCCATATGACAGGTCATAAGATCGGGCAGCTTGTGTTTCCACCAAAGCCATGTGTGGCTGGGTTTCTCACCTCTGATTGTGGGCAGACCCCTGTGCTTGCGAAGAGATCACCCGCAAGTTCTAACCATGCGACATGGGACTGGACCCTTTCAGACTGGTCAGGCTTGCGGCTTGATACATTTGTCGAAATTCTTTTGCGGTAACCTGCGAGACAAAGGTAACCGCGCAGCCAGTAGGCCAACGGAATCAGCTTCTGGATCCACAACAGCATTGGAATCTCTGAGTGTGTTCACCCAGCTTGAACTCATTTAGCACCATCGAAACCAGGAGTGGCTCTACCGGAACGTCATCCCAGCGCTCCTTCCCGCCTTGGAGGTTGGAACCACTTGAAGGTTGTCCAGTTGGAGCTCTGAACATGACACTTCCGGGGATGGGTCAAAACCCTGGTTAACCATAGAGAATAGAGTCAGAATGGACTACCAGGCATTGGTCAACCTACCAGTGTCAACCGGCTCCGGGCTGATGGAGTTGCTCAACTGACACCAGACGACGGTTTTTCGGGGCAATTCGTGGACTGCAGGAGATGCAAAGCAAGAAATTGTTTGACATGGGAAAGCAAACGGACTACATGGTACAGCAAAATAGAATAGTGCAGGCACAGTTGGTAGAGGAGCATCAAACCCAGGAGTCCAGGTGCTAGCAGTTGTAACTGCTAGCAGTTGTACTCACCATAATAACTTCTTAAAAGATTGGCTGCTCACTATTCGTCGAAGCAGTTGTACATTGGCCAAAATTGTCTGGAGCACCAGGAAAGAGTAGGAACAAGGACGCTACTAGGAACAAGTGCATCGCTACTAGTAACAAGGGCCTTACTAGTAGTAACAAGAAGCTATTAGAAACAAGAATTAGAACTTAGTCTTCACTGCATTTGGTTCACGCTGGACCGAAAGGTCGGTTCACTGGGAACAGGGTCACAAGGACCGACGATCGGGTCCGCTGCGAGCAAGGCCTGTCAACGTGATCGCCCGGAAGATCCGATCGAGCCCGGTTGGCTCAGTGGGGCCGTGTTTCGTGGCACCGGACCGGATGAACAGTTGGGCCATTGGGGTCAACGGTGGAGCTCCGGGATTGGGATTTGCTATACAAAGCATTACACAAAGAGATAGGACTCCAAACCTATCTGATTTCGTCCTTTGGGGTCATATCACCTGGAACAGATTATCTGGCAAGTAGAAAAACAAGAAACACTTGTGTTGATGGCGTCGCCACTATGTTATGTAACAACAAACATCAGCAATACATAGCCCTACATCTGAGCCTCCACCCTTTGTACCAAGGAATTCGAAAACTTGGTGATCAAGATTTGAGATTGATACGGCGTTATTCACCGTGTGAAGGGTACGCAACAGCCCCACGGAGAGCTTCTGCTTGCCCAGATTCATCGCCTTCTATATGCTTCGACATTCGAAACAGCCTGGGCGCCTGGTGGACGTTTGGCTCAGCTTTGGCACCGGGACAGAGCTTTGCAAGGCAAAGGAACGAAGCGGGCTGAGTCGACTTGGATTGCCTGCATGGCAGCGTATTTGTTGGTCATCGAGCTGCAACTTGAGAGGCTGTTATATAATGTTGTATAGAGAATCTTTGGATCTGAGCTGGGAAGTGAAGTACTTTAGAGTTTAGCCAAGCCATCCAAATTCAGACAACTTTGTGGAGAGTAGAGGTCAGTTTTGCGGCTTCGAGTACGAAACACGCAGTTCTTCCCGTTGGAAGTCGGTTCTCCACCAGATCGCTGAGAACAGGTTGCCAATTTAGCCGAGGAAACCCTTCTTTGTATCCTGTTTTGGAGTGCCTATCAGATAGTCCTGCCCACACTGAGCATGTCCACCTTATTTCCTCTCCGTGATAAAAACATAACATAACCCTTTTCCTCTCAAGACTTGCTCCATGGGAGTTGAGCTTGCGCTGAGGTACTCGAAGACTCTGAAAGCCTGAGGGACATCATGTTTCACCCAGCTCTTCAATGGCAGCAGACATGCCTTGTATGACCAAATCTTTCGGACTTTCCACATGGCATTATGGCCGCTCGGCCACTCTTCGTTGCAACCAAAAAGAGACAACCAAAAGGAGACAACGAAAAAGACGGGATCAGATCAGATCCACCTTTTGTCCTTCAAAATCAGTAGCATTGTGGAGCATCAACATGCATGTTTCTTAGCCTAAGTCTTTAAGCATACTGTATGTCCCTTACATTTTATCCCGAGATGTTTGGAGAAGCTCCCAAATCAAAACACGTTCAGCACGGACGGTTTCACCTGCTGTGCATGTGGAGAAACGGTGTGGATTCAACGTGCTGTTTCGAAGCCACAGGATGAATGCATTTGGGGTAGGTGGAGGCCCAACAAAGAAAGTGAGATCCAATGTGGACAAATCGTAAAGTGAGATTTGTCTAGGAATGAAAGGATCAACTCATGCTGAGAAGAATGATAGGATACCAGCTGGGAATTCAGATGCAAATCGCATGCAGGCTCGTTCGGGTTTTCATCCATTAGTCGATTTTCCAAGAGCCCATGATGCATCGACCTCTAAGGGATGTTAAACAATATACTCTACTAGTAAGGCACTTGTTACTACTAGCTTATTCTACGTATTCTATATTTCTCCCTTTGTGGTGCTTCCAGGCGCTGCCTCCAGTGCCACCGACAGCGCTCTGGTTTGCCTCCAAAGCCGAGGAACTGGAGAGGCGCGGGGCGCCTGGTGGGGTGGACGACCTCGTCGGCTTGAGATGTTTTGCCCTTCAGATTGGTATCACAAGCCCTTTGTTACTAGTAGCTATTTGGTACTAGCAGCGATGCCAAGAGCCACTAGTAGCGTCCTTGCTCCTAGGAGAGATGCCCTTTGTTACTAGTAGCGTTTTGGCCTGAACTTCAATGTCATTGACCGATTGGCATTTACACATTTACTGCAAGACATGTGCAACATAAAGAAGCACCCGCTTGGACTGTTCGTGAAATTCCCACATCAGACACGGTTGGTTTAGCCGCGGATCGAATTAACCCGCCCAATTAGTCTGGCAGACGTGGGACGGTCAATTCTCACGCAAGGCTTCTCGGAGAGAGAACTGAATCTTCGCGCGAAAACCACCCTCGCAGGGTCTTTGTGTGCACACCTTTGTTTCGAGGAACGGGTTGTAATCATTTTGGTCATCAAGAGTCCTTTTCTTTGGCCAGTGTACCAGTGTTCTCGATGGGTGGAATCCGTCCATGGACGCTCAACCTGTGGGTCCTTTGATTCCTCCAGCCTTTGAGGTCTCAAGACATATCACCAAGAAGTTGCTGCCAACATCTGCCAACTGAAAGAACACCCACCCAGCTGACGGCACAACAAAGAGCCTCAAGATCAGAACACTCAGACTCAACAGCGGAACATTTTGTTGGTTGAAATGATTTGAATGAAAGGTTTCCATCCCACTAGACTATATCCCATTGAGTTGGGTCAGCTCCCCCGTTATTGGGAGTCGAACGTCCAAAGCCACAGTTTTACCCCCCCAAAACATTCATCCCACCCTGTTGATCTGGCGAAACGCGCGCCATGCTGTCCAAACTGGCGAAGCTTGGTGGGCCATTGGACTGTTCGACGTAAGAGCCCTGTGAAGGGGATGTCCGAAAGAATCAGGCATCACACATGGCCGTGCGATTTGGGTGGAGGCAGCAAGGCATGCGGGACACCAAATGCGATACACGCAGCATGTGAAACGCTTGATGCAGCACCCCAACCGGCATCCAAGGCGGCTCAAGCCCATCACCCAGCTAAGTCCGCTGGCAGCTTGGAGTCACAAAAGTGGATGAACGCCCTTTTGGATGGCTGAAGATCTTCCAAGACGGGATCCCATAACGGGGTAGCCCGCCCCCCAAAGGTAAATGACTCCCACAAAAATATCAACTTCTAACCAATTTTAAATATATACGGAGATATACTGTATATTTACTGTATAGCAATTCTCTTTGCTGGGGGCTGAAACACACATGTATGGAAGCCGCCTTACAATGCAGTCCTACTTGAACATAAACAAGATGGAACCCACGAACCCGAATGCAAACACGATCGAAAAACTAATATGTCCAAAGGACACTCTTGTAGGACACTCTTGCGGGACACTCTGTAGGACACTCTTGTGGGCCACTCTTGTAGGAAACTCTTGTGGGACACTCTTGTAGGACACTCTTGTGGGACACTCTTATAGGACACTCTTGTGGGACACTCTTGTGGGACACTCTTGTGGGACACT